AAGGTTTAAAAAGTCAGTTGTAGTGTCGTTTTTAAATAATGTATACAAGTTCCTCATTAGTGTTATTCATCGTCACAACAAATATGGTAAAAAATTAGATGATGGAATCTTTGCAATCTCACCGATTATTATATCAAAAGGATTAAAAATGCAACAGTAGTCAGTACAAATAGGGCATTTCGTTTTTTTAATAATTGATGCCATTAAGTTCCTTATTCATTTTAATCATTGCCACAACAAACACGGTCTAAAAATAGATAAACAATTTTTTTTCATACAGTCATGATAAGATTTGCAGATCAAAAGGTTAAAAAAGTCAACAGTAGTCATTACAGGTGGCAGGCCTAATTGATGCAAGTTTCTTAGACATGACATTCATTGTCACAACAAACACGTCTAAAAATAGATTAAAAAATCCATGTCTTGGTACTATCAACAATAAGTTTAACAGATCAATTGGTAAAAAAGAAAACAGTAGTCAGAAAAGCAGGGGCGTTTTTTAATAACTGATGCAAGTTCCTTATTTATCTTATCATTGTCACAACAAACAGTCTAAAAATAGATAACAATAAAAATAGAAAAATAATCTATTCCTCACACTCTCTCTGATCAATAAGACTAACAGATCAAAAGGATGAAAAATTCAACAGTAGTCAGTACAACAGGGTTATTTTAATAATTGATGAAATTAAATTCCTTATTCATGTACGTTATTTGTTGTCACAACAAACAGGGTAAAAAAATAGAGGACAATTTTTTTTTCATATTTTTAAGGATACAAGATTAGGAGATTAAAAAGAGGAAAAACTCCAACAGTTATCATTAAAGAATAGGTGTTTTTTTTAATAATCGATGCAAGTATAGTATTCATTTTAATCATTGTCACAACAAACAGTCTAAAAATAGATTATGAAACATTTTTTTTCAAACCTCACTGATAAGATTAACAGATCAAAAGAATGAAAAATTCAACAGTACAACACAGGCGTTTTTTAATAAATGATGCAAGTTTAGTATTCATTTTATTCATTGTCACAACAAACATGGTCTAAAGAAGATTACGAAACCATTTTTTTAGAACCTTACTAATAAGTTTAACAGATCAAAAGGATGAATAAGTCAAAAGTACAACATAGGTGTTTTTTAATAAATGATGCAAGTTTGGTATTCATTTTATTCATTATCAAAACAAACACAGTCTAAAAATAGATATAAAAAAAATTTCATATTTTTAAAAATAAGATTAAGAGATGAAAAAGATGAAAAAGGCAACAGTTATCAATAAAAAAAGGGTGTTTTTTTATTAATTGGTGCAAGTTCAGTGTTCAATTTATTCATTGTCACAACAAATACAGTCTAAAATAAGATTACAAAATCTTTTTTTATCAATTACTCTCACTGATAAGATTAAAAAAAATATCAAAAGGATAAAAAAAAGTCAACAGTAGAACACAGGAATTTTTTAATAATTGATGTAAGTTCAGTCATCATTTTAATCATTGTCACAACAAACATGGTCTAAAAATAGAGTACGAAACATTTTTTTTATACTCTAACTGATCAAAAGGATGAAAAATTCAACAGTACAACACAGGTGTTTTTTAATAATTGTAGCTAATGTCTTAATATTCATTGTCACCACAAACATGGTCTTAAAATAGATAATGAAATCCAATTCTACCCACCCCCACCCCAACCCCCTCATAAAATCAGCAGATCATAAAGGATGAAAAAGTCAAAAGTACAACACAGGCATTTTTTTAATTATTAATAAAAGTTCCGTATTCATTGTCACAACAAACATTGTCTTAAAATAGATTACAAAACCCATTTTTTCATACCCTAACCGATAATTAGATAAATAAGATCAAAGGATGAAAATGTAAACAGTAAAGGTCGTTGTCTAGGTAAATAAATGAAACAGTATTGGAAGACAAATAAAATCTAAACTCGTGAATACCAAACGTGCAATATCCACGATAAACTTAATCAACCTAGATAATCGAGAACAAAGATAAAGTAGATAAAGACCATGATCGGTGAACCGTGACCAATCTCCGATCGGTCCTAGAATCCTAATGAATCAACAGCTTTGATTAGTAAGTTATTGATCGGAAATAATATATATATACCTTCGACCTTTAATGGAGAAAAAATCTATCAAATTGAAAATAAATTGGTTCTGTTTCAATAATCCTGAGGCAACTAGGGATTTTCACTTCATTATGACGATGACATGCATATTCTCTTTAGAAATAGATGAACACTTTAAACAAGACTATAGTTGTATCAGAGCAAATGAATCACGAATCAAACAATCATATAAAAATCAGTAATTTTGAGTTGACATATGATTTCGGCACTTGTCAATTGATCTTTAACCTATGTAACTATTTTTAATACACTTGTGGTGTTGGGTTGCTGTCTCATTCATGTATACCACACTCCCTCCTCATTTCTTTCACATATAACCAAAGGTGTATTTTTGGGTTGCTGCCTCTTTCATTTACAACACTTCTCTTCTCCTTAAAATAATAATGGTTTTATAGTTAACTGTAAAGTCAGAAATTTACAATTTTTAAGATTGTTGAGCAGTCAACAAAAATATGAGATTTTTCATTGTGATTGCAGGAAATATTGTTAAAAAATAATGATATGCAAGTTTGAATAGGATAATGCTGTAAACAAATAACGGTATCAAAATCTAAAATGCGATTTTTTTATTTTTTTTTGTGAGATCTATCATTCTATCCTGTAACAATTTTTGCAAAAAAAAAAAAAAACATTTCTGAATTTTCGGTCTTCTATGAGACATTGTTAGAAGTTAGCCATGATAAAATTAGAATAAAAACCGTCTTAAACTTGTGGATTTTTTTATAATCAACGATACAGCTATAAATACAGGTAATTAATCAAAATGTTTAACAGCCGATGGAAAGATGCTTTTTCTGCTGCATAGAAATGACATTGGGACATTTATCAAACTTATCTTTATCTCACTACTTGGTAATTATATTTTGCGGTCAACTGATTAATTAGTTTTAGATAATAGGATCAACACATCAGAACCAGCAAAAACATTTATCATCTTTGAAACAAAACCCTAAGTACTTTTAAGAGGATCTTGTACGACACAAACCTTCTTTGATCAAAAACAAGTGCTCTTACATCTATTTTTATTCTGATCTTACGAAATGTGAAAAAAAATCTTCAGAACAGTAAAATATGAGCTGCTTCGGATAGAAATCGACCTCATGCAAATGAATATCAATACATCGGTTAACTTATTTGAAAAAGTCTCTATGCAAAATATGTAACTGTTTGAAAATTGAATTAATAAAAGATCCCTACATACAGACAAACAATCATCTTTTATTTCGTATTTGAATGTTTCAAAATGTATCAAAGTCTTATACATGTACATGTATACGTGCATTTGCAGAGGTCAATTTCTATTCCGACACAGCTCATATTACATGTATTATGATGTTGTACCAACATTTCCTCCAAAATCAATTCAGATGTACGTTTTGGTGGGATTCATGTTGCTCAGTCTTTAGTTTTCTATGTTTTGTTTTATGTACTACTGTATAACTTTTTTTTTTTTTTTTTTTATTTGTTTTTTTTATTGCCATGGCATTGTCAGTTAAGAAACAGTTTATGGCAGCTGTAGATTTTATTTTATTTAACCATGGGTTGGGCATTTATATTCAATTATCTGGACTGATTTGTTTATTTTGAATCAGAATAGAAATAACCGTATTGTATTCAAAATATTCTGAAAAATTCAAATACAAGATCCAAAATGCTGTTAACTACTTAACTACCTGATGGTTTAGGATATATGAGAAACCAGGAAAATCAAAAGGTCAGACAAAGAAGATGTACAGATATTTAAAGAAAAGATTTTTTTTGTAATTCAAAAACTATTTCTCTTATTCCAAATGTTAAAAAGAAATCTTTTCTTTATATTTTCTAACATCTCCTTTGTCCATTGAATTCAATTTGAGATTTCATAGAATAAAATCTACCTTACAAAATTTCATCAAAGTAAATGAAAACCAAAGAACAAAGGCAGGAAGTAATTTATAAAAAAGGTTTTACAAAATTGTCCATTCTAATCACTAACAAAAGAAAACTAATACTTCATCACGACTGGAAGTTCATAAGGTAAGCCTTCATTAAGGGATAGTGAGAAATCAAACGGACCTTCAATTTAATCAAACGCACCAACTCTTTGATCTATTCTAATCAATACAAAATCTTCATTAGCCATGCATCATATACACAAATGATCATAGATAAATTTCTTTTACAGCATCATCGGCATCAGGTACATAAATAAACTCTTATAATAACATCTTACGGCATGTTAACATTTTAAAAAGACGAGGCCACTGAAGTCTATGGTTGATATTTGATTAACAGTAATGAGCTTAGATGAAGATACAAATATTTATTGCCATTAAAAGTCTAAATGTAAGGAACTTATGACAAGATAACTCTAGTTATGTGCCATACATTTCAATGTCTTAATGAAAACAACAGAAACGGATAAAAACTGACTAACGAATACAATATAATTAATTGATGTGACCACTACTTTCTTTTGTTCAAAGTAAATTTCATTTGTTACTCAGAAATTCCATCATAATTGCATTGTTTTAAAGAAAACTTGTCATTCAGAAAAAGATTGCCAGGACAGCCCCTTTACACCCAGTCTCTCAAAATCCCACTTGTCCTAAGAGTGTAACTAGTGTAAATTGGTTCAGCCTATTTGGTTCAGTCTATTGATAAATTGGTTCAGACTAGTGAAAATTGGTTCAGACTAGTAAAATTGCTTCAGGGTAGTGGAAATTGGTTCAGCCTAGTGAAAATTGGTTCAGGCTAGTGAAAATTGGTTGACTAGTGAGAATTGGTTCAGGTTAGTGAAAAATTTCAAAAATATGGTTTAATGAGTTCTATTTCCCCAAACTGTTCTCCACCATCAATGTACCCACCTTTTACAGATTCCCTTTAACCATGTGTCTATAGACCTGAAGTGGTAAACTGTATTGCTAAAACTTTTAGCCTCAAATTTATAATGGTCCCAGATCTGGACCTTGCCATTGTTCCATCGAGCACCAATAGTCTTGGGTCCGCTTCCTAACCAGATTTCTACATGGGTCATGAAATGCTTCTGGTTTGTGGCTGAAAAAAATCAAAAAATCTTTACAATATTACAGAAAACTACTATAATTAAAGCTCTTAAGTGTCCAAAACCTTTTATCAAGATAAAATTAGTAAATTTTGCTAATTAATATAATCTAAAGACGTCATCATGGAATAGAAGTTCCTTTATAATACTTGTTCCAAATGGAAAAAAAATATAATTCTGGAATATTATAAGGGGTACCCAACACTTTGAATAAAATAGATTTGGCTCATTCAATATTCATAAAATTTTGACAAAAAATATTTACTTCGACCTGTTGACAAAATTTCAAGAAATTTGAACCACACAATTGACAGGAATAATTTTATTAGATATATAGCAGTTTTGACACACACTTAATTTTGATAATTGAGAAGCTTGATTTCTCTTGACTTGTATACTGTGAATTCATTTATTTTCGTGGGTACCAATTTTCGTGGATTGAGAAAAACTCACACTTTCGTGGATATTTAATTTCGTGGTTTTACCATAGTCTGCATACAGGCCAATGGAAAATTTGGAATTCCTTGAACATTTAAATTCGTGGTTTACCTGTACCCACGAAATCCACGAAAATTGGTATCCAACGAAAAATAATGAATCCACAGTAGTATGCGATTAAAACATTCAGTTGATTTTTAAGGAGATAACTCCCTAAGGTGTTCGGTACCCCCCTAAGGTATTTGTTCCCAAGGGAATAAAGGATATACAATATTTGTTCTAAAAGAAACAGATATTATAACATTGTTAATAACAAAGTTTCCAAGGAACTGTTAGAAGGAACAAGTTTACGTCAACACAAATATCTGTCCATAAATGGTTGGCCTCCAGATGGCTTTTTGGTTGTTTGTGTAGGTTGTTGTCTTACTGAAGTATAGAGTTCCATAGTTCATGTAGTTCTTGAAAAGTGGTGGTCTGAAGATCCTGACTTGAAAAGTGGTGGTCTGAAGATCCTGTTTTGAAAAGTGGTGGTCTGAAGATCCTGTTTTGAAAAGTGGTGGTCTGAAGATCCTGACAACCAAAATTTGGCAAAAAAACGACACAATTTTGGTATTTTGCAAATAATAATGAGGATTTCTTCAAGGACCACCAAGGAAAAAAGACTTTGGAGAACTTTGGTGTTCTAGCTAGGATTTTAGAACAGAGAAACAGGTGAAAACAGACAACTTTTAATAGATTTTAATAAATCAATAAACTGTTAACACAGAGATCTGTCTTGCCATTTTGTTTTTCAATGGTAAAATAAAATAGCATTACTTTAACATGAAAGTTAAGCAAAATATTCAAAGTCAATGAACCATGACTGAAGGTACAGGGCCAAAAAATCTACATGGAAATGAGATGTACCAATGCTAATACAACTGCATACAATATATCATTTGACCTACAACAAGTGGTCCCCCATAAACTGACCTAATCACACATACACATTGTTGATGCCGCCACAGCCGCTGCCGCCAACACCAGAAACAGCATACCTATGTCTCGCTTTTTGACTCTGTTAAGGCAAGACAAAAACTGAATTAAATGAATGATTAATGTATTTTTGCTGGATTTAAAGTATTTCGGGAGATGTACAAAGCTTTTCCAGAAGTTAAAGCTACTCATTTGCTTTGAAAAGTATTCATTTTCCTTCAGGAAACAAAAATGCACAGAAAAGGACTATAAATACAGACTGGTGCACAGAAAGGGCAGAGGGGTGCACAGAAAGGGCAAAGGGGACCATAAAAAGAGCAGAGGGGACCACAGAAAGGGCAGAGGGGACCACAGAAAGGGCAGAGGGGAGCATAGAAAGGGCAGAGGGGACCACAGAAAAGGCAGAGGGGACCACAGAAAGGGCAGAGGGGACCACAGAAAGTGCAGAGGGGAGCACAGAATGGACAGAGGGGAGCACAGAAAGTGAAGAGGGGAGCACAGAAAAGGCAGAGGGGAGCACAGAAAGGGCAGAGGAGACCACAAAAAGGGTAGAGGGGAGCACAAAAAGGGCAGAGGGTAGCACATATAGTGCAGAGGGGAGCTGTGCTCTCTATTTTGGACTTCCTAGAACACTTACATAATTTCCTTTTTTTGGCCTAAAATTATCATCACTTTTGAAGTAGCTAGATAAATCATTGTTGTATGAAACAGCTTGAACAAACGTCTTGTTATAATGGCAAAACATGCAGGTGTTACATACTTTTATGTTAGATGACAAAATCATTTGTTTTATGAAATGGACATTACATGTAATCTGTCCCATTTACAGGTGGGCTAAATTCCCAAACAGAACATGTATGAAATTAACTACTTTTGTTTTCTCTATAGGGTTTTTTACCTAGGCTCTCGGTCATTAAACTGTACTCAGAGTACAAAACTTGGGCCTGAACCACAAAATCCAGTTTTTTGATTGGTTGAATTCTGAGTAGGAGTCTCTGAGTAGGAGTCACCGCAAGGCCAGACTTTGGACAAGATTTGGGCTGACTTAGAGTTCATAATAAGGTATGCACACATTGACTGTATATAGTCCCTAAGGGTTGTTGTTGGGTTGCTATCTCATTAAAGTTATCAACACATTCAGCCCAATTTCCCCTACCCCTTTCATATCATCTTTCCTTTATCATTCCCTCTACCCCTTCCATATCATCTTTCCTTTATCATTCCCTCTACCCCTTTCATATCATCTTTCTTTTATCATTCCCCCTACCCCTTCCATATCATCTTTCCTTTATCATTCCCTCTACCCCTTTCATATCATCTTTCTTTTATCATTTCCCCTACCCCTTCCATATCATCTTTCCTTTATCATTCCCTCTACCCCTTTCATATCATCTTTCTTTTATCATTCCCCCTACCCCTTTCATATCATCTTTCTTTTATCATTCCCTCTACCCTTTTCATATCATCTTTCTTTTATCATTCCCCCTACCCCTTTCATATCATCTTTCTTTTATCATTCCCTCTACCCTTTTCATATCATCTTTCTTTTATCATTCCCCCTACCCCTTCCATATCACAATTCTTTTATCATTTCCGCAACCCCTTTCATATCATCTTTCTTTTATCATTTCCCCTACCTCTTTCACATAACTTTTCTTTTATTATTTCCCCTACCCCTTTCATATCATCTCTCTTTTATCATTCCCCCTACCCCTTTCATATCATCTTTCTTTTATCATTCCCCCTACCCCTTTCATATCATCTTTCCTTTATCATTTCCCCTACCGCTTTCATATCACCTTTCTTTTATCATTTCCCCTACCCCTTTCATATCATCTCTCTTTTACCATTTCCTCTACCCCTTTCATATCATCTTTCTTTTATCATTTCCCCTATTCCTTTCCTAACATCTTTCTTTTATCATTTCCCCTACCCCTTTCATATCATCTTTTTATCATTTCCCCTACCCCTTTTATATCATCTCTCGTTTACCATTTCCCCTATTCCTTTCCTATCATCTTTCCTTTATCATTTCCCCTACCCCTTTCATATCATCTTTCTTTTATCATTTCCCCTACCCCTTTCATATCATCTTTCCTTTATCATTTCCCCTACCCCTTTCATATCATCTTTCTTTTATCATTTCCCCTACCCCTTTCATATCATCTTTCTTTTACCATTTCCCCTACCCCTTTCATATCATCTTTCCTTTATCATTTCCCCTACCCCTTTCATATCATCTTTCTTTTACCATTTCCCCTACCCCTTTCATATCATCTTTCTTTTATCATTTCCCCTACCCCTTTCATATCATCTTTCTTTTATCATTCCCCCTACCCCTTCCATATCATCTTTCCTTTTATCATTTCCTCTACAACTTCCATATCATACAACATATATATTAGTCACAAGTTATGGGCCAAGACATGTGTTCATAAAACAAATGAGTTTCCATGAACCTAAATACGGACGACATTAATTACGAGTATGACAATCCAAAATAAATATGCACTAAGAATAGAGGTGATGTTTCCTAAAATTAATTTAAAGTGTAAACATAATAGGTTTGTTTTGGGTTCGTTCTTATACTGTTGTCTTGACATTGTCATTTAAATGTTTTAAGTTATGAATGACAAAGTTGGACAAAGAAGTAAACAAAAAATTATAATATAAGTAACTAATAAAACAGTTGCTGCTAATCTGTAATTAGATCTTTGAATATTGTTTTTGTTGGTATAAATATTGATTTTATTATCAGTAAATTAAAATCATACTAAATAGTTTTGTTTTTTTACACATATGCACTTTAACAGTACTACAATCTGTTGATAGCTTTATTTCTGCATTACACAAGGTCGTGATTTTCTCTGACTGTTAATGACATCTTTGCACTAAATCCATTGGATGTTGGATGTGTATTGATTGATATTTTAGTCTTAGATACATGATTTTTTTTTTATTTGTTGTAAATGGCTTTGAACTAGTTGTCGGTAACTGTTTGCCAATGAGACAACTCTCCATCAAAGACCAAATTTGGTAGAAGGTTTAGCAACTATAGGTCACTACAGTGTACGGCCTCCAACAATGAGCAAAACCCATACCATATAGCTAACTATAAAAGGCCTCAAGATGACAAAGTAATACAATTCAACAAGAGAAAGCTAACGGTCTGATTTAAGTACAAAACAATTAAAGAAAAACAAATACGATATACAACAACAACAAAAATTCTGGATCAGAATTGTATTCATTCCTTTAGTTACTATTTCTGTAAATTAATTTCATGGGATGCAATTTTGAACAATACCAGATCAGTATGAAAAACCATCAGTTCTAAATAAAAGACTAAAGCAAAACTAAAGAAAAGGAGTAAAGCCAGTTACCCCAATAAACAGCCCTGTGAAGGTGTATTTTCAAAACTTCAATTGTTTGCCTTCATCTAAATGTATCATTTTTTAATGTAATTAAATTGCTGCTGAACTGATGCCTAGCTCCCAAAAGGAGTAGGGGCATTAAGGCCTGGTTTTGACCAAAGAAAATAAAGTTTTTGAGAACTATTTCAAATTTTCACATAATATTTGGAAATGCATAAATTCAAGAAATTTAAATGAATTTCATCAGATTTTTGATGCTATGACGTCACAATTATGTCATAAAAGGCTCCAATTTCATGAAACCAAAGAAAACTGTTTAGTTTATGCAGTTTTCCTTCATTATTTCCTTTGAGGAAACATTGTGCGCAAGCAAGAAACAACAAAATAATTTAAGAGATGCTTTATTATAACTATTGGCATATTCTAATCAAATATAAAGTTGTTTCTTGGGTGTGCACATACTTTTCCAATCTAATACTGACCAAAAGGTTGACGTAAAACAAGGAAAGTCATGAAATTTTACAAAATACATTTTGTCATAGTTTGTTACCATGTTCATAGGCTGATCCAGGGGGTGCCCTGGGGGCCCGGGCCCCCCTTTTCGTTGGAAAAATTTAGTTGATTATATAGGGAATCACTGAAGCATGACTGTAACGGGCCCCCTCTTATGGCAGTCAGTAGGCCCCTTATAAAAAGTTCTGGATCCGCCACTGATGTTACTTGTTAAATGTGAAAATTGTTTTTATTTTCTGAACACCTTGAACCTTAGTGTACCTTGGACAAAGTGATGAATATGTGAGGTAACTTTTCAATTTGAACTAATATTTGGGCCAAATAAGGGCCTGATTGCCCATACTCCTTTCGTTTTAGTAGAGTTCCCTAATGGATGTCTGCTTAGCTGCTCTGTTTTAAAATAACAAGCCTTTTTAAAGACTGTGATAAACTGATAGTTTATAAATAACTTAAAAAGAAGAAAAAATGACAGGTCTGTATCCTTTTTTTAGTGATATATATGATCCAACTGAAAATTTGGTGGGAAATGATTCTCTCTTGATTTTTCATACATTTAACATTGGCACTTATTTCTTTCAAAAACTATGAAAAAATAACAAGAATTGTTTCAGATTTTCAAAAATGGCTTTTTATCTATATGTCATAAAATTATGAAAAGAAAAGTAGGGGCTAGCAGGCAAAAGTTTTACTGGCACTTTATGGATGAAGGTAAAGGATTCCGAATATCTGACGAAAAGTCCAAAACAAGAGTAGTGAACATCCATAAGTTGTAATAAAAGTTGCAGTTTGCTTTAAAAGTGTTGTTGTCAATTCAGCGGTATTTTTGAATGTATAATAAGAAATAAATGGGGAATGTGTCCATATACATGGGACACAGATGATGCCCCGCTTGCATATAATGTTATAAAGGGACATAACTCAAGAACAAAAAAAGTGACGCTACCCACATTTGTACTTGATCACAGTTTTGTGGTAATAAGCATTGTGTATAAGTTTCATAACATTTGGTTGAGGCAAACTAAAGTTAGAGAATGGAAACCAATTTTGGGATATATGTACGTACAGACGGACAAGGGTAAAACTTAATGCCCCTCCGCTACAGCAGGGGCATAAAAATACATATTTATGTTTCATATGTTTCTAATATATTAGTCTAAAATAGGAATATAGATATAAGAAGATGTGGTATGAGTGCCAATGAGACGACTCTCCATCCAAGTAAAAATTTATAAAAGTAAACCATTATAGGTCACAGTACGGTCTTCAACACGGAGCCTTGGCTCACACCGAACAGTAAGCTATAAAGGGCCCCAAAAAATTACTAGTGTAAAACCATTCAAACCGGAAAACCAACGGTCTAATCTATATAAAAAACGTGAAAAGAGAAACACTTATGAACCACATCAACAAACGACAACTACTGAACATCAGACTATATTCCATTTTTAGAAATTTATCACCTTCAAAAGAAAATTAATCCCTAACTCTACTTAACTTTTTTTATCCAAAAATTTTGTAAACCACCATTTAAATTTTTAAATTTAAAGTTGTTCATGTTTACATATACCGCTTTACAAAGAATTTTCGCTGACTTTTTAACTTAATAATCCCACTTCTCTGTGTGTGGTGACATTAAATAAATGCTTCTATAATTTGGTTTAAAATTCTCTTTTGGTGAATTTAACCCATTGAAATACATGCATGTTTGACCTCATTTTATCGTTTCTCATTACATTGTGCTCTATAGGCCAAGATACGGCATAATAAATAGTTCAGCTACAGAGAGTAAACCATGTCTTGTATTACAAATTTTTGCCATTTTAACAGCTTAAATGATGAAATATTTAAATTAAATTTTTGACAATTATTTAATAGTCCTCATGGGCTGTCCCACAGATCATTTAAATATTGCATTTCATTTAGTTTTATTTTAAGACTCAAAATATGACTTGGAATGCACAATTCCCAAAGAGTATGAAAACCAAAATAGTTTAAATGTAAAATAACCAGCTTTCACCACTTTTAAAACTTCAAGTTGAAGAAAAGGTTTCAAAGATATGAAGATCAAGATTTTGTAACTGAGGGTATCAACTGACTGAGTAATCACCCTTCATTATTTACCTGTTCAGACTCAGCAGTTTTATGTCCCCACCCTCCATACCATTGGAGATTCCCCACAGCATACTCATTTTAAAGATATGTTCTAGATATTGACACAAGATCTCCTTTCTTGAGCTTCACATCTTTCCCTGACTCTACAGTATTATGCTTCCCACAGCGTTTTTCCAGAAGAGCCCTTGATAACTTTAAGGTTACAATAGGTTCCCAGCATGAACATAAGATATCACATCTTTTCATACTTTACATTTTGTGTCACTGCCCCCCTTCCCCTTCCCTCCTTTATCAAATGTGATCCAACTTGGACATACCTTTTTGTGTTAGTCGACCCCTCCCTCTTACCAAAGGAAATCCCAATGGGCATACTTACATTTAGGATTAACGTAGGTCCCAGACATGAACACAAGATCTCCGGGCTTCATATCTTTCTCGGATTCTACAATGTGTGGCAGTGTGTCGTACATGTAGGCCTGGTTCCATGGTCCTATAACAAAGCCAAAGTCTTTAGCCAAGTCTCGTACCACTTGTCTAACCAGACCACAACAGTCTAGAAATAGTTTTGAACTGTACTCATCAGCTGAAAATAAAATTCATTGAGTTTAATTTTACATTAATATAAAAATAAGAAGATGTGGTATGATTGCCAATGAGACAACTATCCACCAGAGTTCAATTGAAGTGGAAATCTGTTAAAGTAGTTACAATGTATACAGCCACTGTACTGCCTTCAACAATGAAATTCACCAAACCATATAGTCGGCTTGCCCACTTTAAAAGGCCCAGACAAACAACATCAATAGATATAGGAAGATGTGGTATGAGTACCAATGAGACAACTCTCAAGTCTATTTTGTTTGATTGCTTAAAACTAATACATTCATTATTATTCATGTGGGATACCAACTTTCGTGGATTTTGCTGAACATCACAGGTGAACCACGAAATTAAATGTTCAACTAATGGCAAATTTCCTATAGTCTGATAAGCAGACTTTGGCAAAACCACGAAATCAAATATCCACGTAAATGCAAGTTTTTCTCAATCCACAAAAATTGGTACCCACGAAAATAAATGAATCCACAGTAGACTCATTATTATTCATGGGGCCTAAATTAATATATTGTTTGTTTCCCTAATCCCGACCCTGCCAAGCAGGTGCGGGTAGGTAGGTAGGTCATGTAGGTAGGGAAATAATTTTATTTTTCCAAAAAGCTTGAACATTTTCGGATGATCCGGCAAGCCTGAAAATTGGAAATGAATAAAATAATACTTGACTAAGTTTTGACAATAAAATTTTATGATTAGGACCATTTTTGCAGGGTCGGTCGGGATTGGGGAAACAAACAATATTTTATTTTCGGCCTGGGATACCAATTTCATGGATTTTTTGGTACAGGTGTATCAGGAAATGAGTGCTCAACAATGTACAAAATTTTCTATTGGCTTGTATGCAAACTACCATAAACAATTTTTTTTACTGGAATGGGGATAGGCAGACTAACGGACAGATGTACAGACCAGAAAACTCAATGCTCCTCTACTATCTTATGCTGGGCATAAAAACTGATGTAGATTGCTAATACTATTACAATACAGTCCTGAGGTCAAATTCACATGGACAGGAGGAAAACTATGACATATTTCACCTTAGTAAGGATGTACTTGCGTGAAAATAAAAAAATCTAGAATTTAAAATTGATACTATAAGTCAGAAGAGCATTAGTAAAGGAAAAAAATAAACTAAAAATATTGATAGGTTATGGAGCTCCTTTTCAAAATATATAATTTTTTTCAATAGTGGGAAAAGGCTGACTCGGACTTTTACCTTATATTTGCATTGGTATTATTTGGGTCTCAAATCGAAAGAAAAAAAAAACTAGAATCTGCTTAAATTTGGTAAATGACCTTTTATGAGCTATTGAAGTTTTATATGAAAAGGAAAATGGGTGTTATGGGGCAAAATATTTTACCCTGTATCGTAGGAAAAAACCCAAGGAGTCCGAACATCTGACAAAAATTCCTAAACCTGACCTAAGTACAATATTAACTGGCTCATTTTAACATAACTTCTCATCATGTGTTGTTAATTTTCTCACAGATGTGAATTTATAGAATATTTTCATGCTTGGGTGTCAAAAGTGGGATCCAATTTTTTTTTTAATTTTTCATATTCTTCTCTGAAAAAGGGAAACTTATGGAAAGATGGATGTGGAAAATGACTGGACTGTCTGATTTAGAGCCTGACTCACATTGTGACTCATGTCAGACAAAAAATTCTTATGAGTCAACCAAATATACAAGTCATGAACATTTCAGAATAACTTTTAACAATCAATTCTAGTTGTAGGATTTTTTTGTGAAAAGAGCCCAAGAAATCCAAAATTTGGAGCTGTTTTGGTATCTTAGAATATACTGTAGATTCATTATTATTTGTTGGATACCAATTTTCGTGGATTTCGTGGGTACAGGTGAACCACAAAATTAAATGTTCAACGAAGTACAAATTTTCTATAGGCTTGTATGGAGACTTTGACAGCAAAACCACGAAATTAAATATCCACAAACATTTAAGTTTTCCTCAATTCACGAAAATTGGTACCCACGAAAGTAAATGAATCGACTGTATGTATAGTTACCTATGGTTGTTAACTTCTGTGTCATTTTGTCTCTGGTGGAGAGTTGTTCTCATACCACATCTTCTTATTTTTTTATGGCTTATTCATGTGTTTAACATAGCTAATTACATTTTGGTAAAAAGCGACATTTTACCTGGGGGTTATATATTAAGTAGGTTTAATTTTTTAATTTTCACAAGCTGAGTATATTTATTTTTATAGGTTATAAGGTAAAAGGTTTTTAATCATTGCTCAACGATCACAAACTGATGAACTGCTGTGAACTTCATTAGATAAAAAAAAAAAAACGATCACAAATAAATAACCGCTACTTAATCTTTCCTTAAATAAATTTGATCCGAGTTAATTGTTTACCACACGGATTCTAATATATATCATTATTCATCATCCAAAATGTCAATTAATGGAGATATATTGACATAAATACTTCAAAAAATCTTCAATAAACCCAAATTAATCCTAATTGTTAATTGTGAAATCTTGTAAGTTTCACACTTGCCAATTTCGTAGTTGAAATCCCTTAAGAGGAAATCTTGTTATCTTCCTTTGAAGTTTGTCTGTACTTCATTTATATCACCACCAAATCCATTTCCTTAATGGAAGAAATTTATAAAGAAGTTTTATGTCTTAAAATAAAACCCATTAAAATTTTATGGTGTCTATCTGTTTTTTTTCTACCTTTATTTCACAATTAACAAAAGGTGCTCCCCCTTTTTTTTACAATTTACAAAAGGTGCTCTCCCTTTTTTCACAATTTACAAAAGGTGCTCCCCCTTTTTTTCACAATTTACAAAAGGTGCTCCCCCTTTTTTTCACAATTTACAAAAGGTGCTCCCCCTATTTTTCACAAATTACAAAAGGTGTTCCCCTTTTTTTCACAATTTACAAAAGGTTAACTTCCTCCTTTTTTTGTTTGAAATAAATTAAGATCCTAATTGACTCAAATTTATAAAATATTCTATCTTCAATTTGGAAGAATGTTTAAACATCAACCATAACAAATTCATTTCAGAAACAACAATAAAACCAGACTAGCTAACTATACCCTTATAGCATTTGACTTGCTGACCTATATTTTAATAAAGAGCTGCCCCATTAGCGCATGAAACACTGATCACCCTTCTAGTTTAGTTAAATTTTTGACAAATAAAGCTCCATAACGCCGCAGTGTCATATCAGAAATTTATAAAAACAAGAGGGAGCTTATTTAAATAGATATAAACAAGTCACCATAGTTTCATGAAAACTGGGCAAAGCGTTTCTGAGTAATTGTCTGAAAACTGGAAAATCCCCATTTTTTTTAAATAAAATTTCCTGACTCAGAAAAGTAAAATCTAAAAATTCATAAAAATCGAAAGGGATCTTATATCAATAGATATAAACAATTCACCAAAGTTTCATAAAAATTGGTGAAAGTGTTTTTGAGTTAATATTGTTTGAAGTGTTGACGCAAACGGACAGACAGAGGGACAACGGTATACCATAATACATCCCCTCTTAGACCAGCGTATAAGTAGACTTATTTGCATCAGACAACCTTACGGTCAAATTCTCAGTGGCCAAGTGGTCTAAGTCGTTTAAATACTGTATTACTAGCCTGACAACACTGAGGTTATGAGTTTGAGCACTGAATGTTCTATACTTTGATATATTTCAGCATCTAAGAGGGTCTGGATGGGGTCCTTCATTTCAGTTTTCTTTATCTTTTTAAACCATTTTTCTTTATTCTTTATACTGTTTGCCCACTTTTCTCTATTCTTTACTCTTTGCCCATTATTTTCTTTTCTTTATATTTTAGCACTTTATTATTCTCTATTCTTTATTTTTTTGGTCCATTCTTCTCTATTCTGTAAACCCTCATCAACACCCTCATCTAACTAACTCATTATCTTTTAATCAATATTTTTTGCATATTAATCAACTTACTATCTTTAGACCAATATTTTCTAGCATAAGGAATACCAAAGTATTTCTTTGCCTGGTTGATGAATTTTTGTCTTAGCTCTTCTTGAAACTTTGGATTTTTCTGTCTTCTCCGCCTTGCTCTTCGTATTCTTTTCTGTTTTGCAATCTCTTTCTAAAATAAGCATAGACCAGAATGCATATAAAAAGACAAATAAAAAACTGCTAACTTAAAATCTACCTACCAGACACAAATGACATACAAGTTAGCAACTATAGGTAACTGTCTGTTCGGCCTTCAACAATGAGCAAAACCCATATCGCATAGTAAGCTTTAAACGTTAAATCTGCAAATACTACATACCACCAGACAGTTTTATTCAAATCTTCATTGGTTGTCAATTCTTTTTCAATAGTATCAAATGCTGTTTTTTTTTTCTTTTTAAATATAAGCTGTTTAAAGCAAATTTGCTCCAGATGAACTTGGTTAAATTTTAAAAGCTAGAATCAATAAGAAGTTGTTTCCTCAAAAAATTTTGATTTCAATACCTAACAATGTTTTAAATAGAAATAAAAGGATATGTGGGGAATACATCAATAAAACAGCAAAAATTAATGCAACAACTAAAAAAGCCAAAAGAGAAAAAAGCACTCGATAAAGTTTCAACTACACAAAACAAAAGCATGAAAATATGATGACACATGTTCCCTATTGGTTGTAAAAGGTCAAAGACCATCACCAATGTTATTCAAACATATTTCTACTTCATATTCCTGATTTTTTACAGAAATGACATGATCCATCTACTTGAGCTGTACCAGTACTGTAAATAAATTCATTGATAAAGTTTGTCCGCAAATAGTTGTCGAACTTCAGTCTAATTTAATTATATTTAAGCAAACAAGGTCACAACAGCTATATTATTTATTTTGGATATTAAATCATTAATCCTGGTGGCGAACGGACATGCTTAGTCATGACATCCTTGGCCATCACCTTGTGCTGAGACAATCCTTTTCAAAATTTAGTAAGGGGTCTAAATGGGTATAATATGCTTCATGGTCCAGGCACTTTTAGAGATTCTGATAGATCCACCCTTTGTATGGTGTTGCCTACCCATGCCTTGTAGAGTTGGGTAGTAAAAAGGTAGGAATCCTATTTTTTTTTTTTTTTTTTTTTTTTTTTTTTGCCAATAACATGTATACATTTTGATGAAAACTTTGATAGAGCAGGAAAATTCTTTAATAAAAAAATTTTAAATGATTTGTGTCAAAAAGAATTTTGTCAGCTACGTGAACACCAAACAGTTTAAATTTCATTTTTAGACTAGGACATTTCATTTCGTCTGGACCATTCACATGTTGAGAATAAATGTAAAAAGCAAACTTCAACTATCATAAATACATGAAATAAGAATAAGCAAACAATGCAAAACAATAGTTCAATCTTGGGAATTTTGTTGAATTTGTTCCTTTGACTTTGAAGAACACCTCCAAAAACTATAACATTAGGGAGGAGGGCATGTTAATTTTGAAAAATTTCTGAAATTAGTCCTTCCTGTAACTCTTCAAATTTTCCTCCAACTACGTAAAGTCTCAGAAACAGATAAATTTTTATATTACATGCTGAAATGAATTGAACAGAATTTTTTCCTTAGATTACAGATATAGATGGGGAATTAACTTTATTTCTTATGACTAATTTTTTTTTTTTTTTTTATTTGTGTAATTTCCAGAAAAACATAACATATTTGAATATAAAGCAGAATTTTAAGCAACATTTTTTTGCAGACTGATTTTTTACTAATGCATAACAAGTTACAGCTTTCTCAGTTAGTTTATAAATCTGGATAAATCAATGGATCAATAAATGCATCAATTTCTACTCAACTCTGTAGCAACACAAATTACCAACCCCTACTTATATTCTCAATTCAATGTTCCACTTCTCACATTTCAAAATTTGAAACAAGAAATATCAAGTTTTCAACTTTAACTACAAATTAAAATCTTCCTTCTATTCATTAATAGCTTAATCAATGTACAAGTAATATGGGAGCTACTTGAGAACACTGGTCAAACAAAATCCAAACAAACAACTTTTTGTAATTACTAGAATATTAACATATGTGGAGATTTCAATGTTGACACAAGAGACATGGAGATTATTTCCAAACAAAGTTGATATAAGAGGGTCTGGATGAGGGAACCATCTTTTCTGTATTCTTTTATTTCTTAAGGTATTTTTTCTCTTTTCTTTATATTTCAGCACCCTGTTACTGTCTAATCTTTATTTTTTGCCGTATTTTTCTCATATTCTTTACTATTTTGGTCCATTTTTCTGTAGATTTGGCCAATCATTCTTTATTCTGTAAACCCAATCCAGACCCTCATGTAACAACCATGGGACTACAATGTTTGTTTACACATCCAATCGGACGATGATTTAGTAAATATTGAGGCACTTCAAGATCGTCATTATCTGGACTGAACACAAATCAAACAACTTTGTGTGTTTTATCTTCGGTCACTTTCCCCCATGTGTTCCACGGCTTTTCATAAAGGTCAATAAACATGACAGTGGTTTCTGTGTACGGACATGAGTATGGTGATAATAAAAACATTCAATTACACGGCAACAGATATTCAAAATCCTTCACCCAAATATACTTTGGAATTTTAACTTTTAAATTTTAAAAGAGACTTGTCAATTTTGTGTATTTTATACAAGTTATATAAAAAATGCTACAAAAGGCCATAACACTTGTGTTTCCGCTAACCTGACCTTCCCAATTCTAGGAGTCACCTTAAAGATTTATAGGTCATTTTCAAAGTCAGAATGTTTCCCCTGTTTAGGGAACAACCATTTAATTTCAAGGGGACTGGTTATGGTTTTTTCCTAAAAAAATACAATGATCCCCAATTTGATGAAAAAAAATATTGTGGTCAAGCAGATGACAAAAAAAAATTATTCTGAATCCAGATTTTCCCCATAACTTATAGTGTTAAATTTTGGAAAAAAATAATGTGATTGATAGCGTCAAAAAACTATTAAAAAAAAAAATTCTGACTCAAGACAAAAAACCATTACCCCCCACCCTTTGAAGTTAAATGGTTGCTCCCTTAAACAAGCAAGAAACTTTAAAAAATGAAATTATATGACTAATTCTTCCTACCCTAGCTTTTTTCAGCATGTAAGCAGAAACAGAGCTTTTTTTTAAGGTATAATAAAATTAAAAAAATGAAGGAAAATCATTTAAATGTTTGTCAATAGAAAACCCTGCAAACCAATTTGCTTAAAATTTTGCTTTAATTGCAAAAATCTGTCAAAATTAATTTTATAATTTGGAATAAGAAGCTTAGCACACCCTAATAAAACTTCGATAATATATAATTCAAATATAACTTTATTCAATACACTGGCACTGTATTATGAGTTCAAGACTCTGCACTTGGTTTCTTTAAGAAATCTGATTAAGTTTTCTATATAAGTTCATTAACTTACAAAATATGAACCAATAGACCTTTCAACAATAGTGTGAAAATGTGTTATGGATGGCAAAATATAATTTCTCTGATTTTTCCATTATTTTCACATTTCCCAACCGATTGTGAAAAAATTGTTCTCCTCACTAGTGAAATAACTGTTCTCGGCAAATGATTGGTCGAAATTTATTATGACGTCAAATTTTCTTGGTTTCTTCTGAATTTCCTATTGTGACGTAATGAAATAAGACCATGCCTGATGACATCACATATATATAAAGAACACAACTTTCTGTAAATCTTTGAAAAGAAAGGATAGGATAAAAATCATTAGAGAAATAGATTCCTACACTTTAACTCGTATATAACGATATTTCTCCACTCTCAGCAGTTAAATTTTAATTATTTAATAAAATGCTCCGCTGGGGCGCAGCTTGATACGACCGCAGAGGTCGAACCCTGAACAGTTGGGGCAAGTATGGACACAACATTCAAGCTTGATACAGCACTGAATTTGGATTGTGATTAAATATTTGACACAGCATAGGTTTCTGACACAGAATGAAAGTGGTCTAAGAACTTAAAAATTTTTAATTTACCTATTCAAACCATATCATTATTATTTGCTTTTATATATAAATCAGAAATAACCAATTTAAAATGGAAAATTTTAAAGAAAAAAAAGGAAAAAAAATCCCCCCCCCCCAATTTTTTGAACCCCCTTATGATTCATCACCCCCAAACTCAATCCCAGCTTTCCCTTTGTGGTATGGTACCTTGCAGTACAATTTCAGAGAGATCCATACACTTGAACACAAGTTATTGTCTGGAAACTAGCAAAATGCTTGTTTTTTGGCCCCTTTTTGGCCCCAAATTCCTAAACGTTTAAGGCAATTACCCTCAAACTCAAACCCAGCTTTCCCTTTGTGATATGGAACCTTGCAGTACAATTTCCTAAAGATCCATACACTTACACACAAGTTATTGTCCTGAAACTAGAAAAATGCTTGTTTTTTTGCCCTTTTATGGCCCCTAATTACTAAAATTTTGAGGGAATTACACCCAAAATCAATCCCAGCCTTCCCTTTGTGGTATGGTACCTTGCAGTACAATTTCAGAGAGATCCATACACTTGAACACAAGTTATTGTCTGGAAACTAGAAAAATGCTTATTTTTGGCCCCTTTTTGGCCCCTTATTCCTAAATTTTTTGGGCTATTACCCCCAAACTCAATTCCAGCTTTCCCTTCGTGATATGGAACCTTGTAGTACAATTTCATAAAGATCAAAACAATTACACACAAGTTATTGTCATGAAACTAGAAAAATGCTTGTTTTTTGCCCCTTTTTGGCCCCTAATTCCTAAAATTTGGAGGCAATTACCCCCAAAATCAATCCCAGAATTCCCTTTGTGATATGGAACCTTGTGATACAATGTCAGAGAGATCCATACACTTACACACAAGTTATTGTCATGAAACTAGAAAAATACTTGTTTTTTGCCCCTTTTTGGCCCCTAATTCCTAAAATTTGGAGGCAATTACCCCCAAAATCAATCCCAGCATTCCCTTTGTAATATGGAACCTTGTGGTACAATGTCAGAGAGATCCATACACTTACACACAAGTTATGTCTGGAAGTTACAAAAATGCTTATTTTTGGCCCCTTTTTGGCCCTTAATTCCTTAACT